CCTCGGGCGGGAGCGCCGCCACACTTCCCAAGCGGCGCACTATCCAGTGCGCCACCGGGCCGGCCCTAAACCAGTTTTAAAAGGAGTAAAGTGAACCTGTTTGTTAGCATAACTCTGTGTTTATTACATGAATATTTAGTATCCTTTAGATGATTTTTTTTTTTTTTGGTAAATAGTTTAGTGGACAACTCACCATAATACTGGTAGGTTGCAAGATTTCTGAAATTGTTATAACCTATATGAAAATTATTTACTATATTTAAATTTATTCTCTCATTCATTCAACAGAAATGTTTGAGCTCCTACTATATACTAGGCACTGGTCCAGCCACTGGAATGAACAAACAAAAATCCCTGCCCTCATGATGATGGAGTACATTCTACTTGGAGAGGGAAAAAATATATGTGCGTTTGTGTGTGTGGAGAGAGCATGTATACTCATACACACAATAAATGTGTATATATATATATATACACAAGGGGGATATATGAAATATATAGTATGTCTTATAGTAGCCCTAAGGAGAAAAATAAAGCAAGAAAGAGGGATAAAAAGACAGTTGGATGTGTTTTGGTAGTATAGCTAGAAAAGGCTTGCTGAGAAATATATAGTAAAGACTTGAAGGAGTGAGCCATGTAACTCTCTAGAGGGAATAGCATTACAGGCAGAAGAAACAGAAAGTGCCATGTTCTAGGAACAACAAAGACCCAGCGTGGCTGGAACCAAAAGAACAAGAGCTAGAGTAGTTGGAGATGAGGTCAGAATATTAACAGGCTGATCAGTGCCTCATTGGTTATTTTGAGGACTTTGGCTTTTACTCAGACTGAGAAGGGAAGCCATTGCAGGATTTTAAATAGAGGAGTGACATGATGTGGTTTTACTCTTTAAAAGGATTATTCTGATTCCTGTGTTGAGAATGAACTGTTGAGGTTTGGAGTAGGAGGAGACAAAGGGTATAAACAAAGAGATCTGTTAGGAAGCTATTAGCATAATGCAGATAAGAGATGATGATGATGATGATGGCCTCAACCAGAGTCATGAGAAGTGGTCAGATTCTGGATGTATTTTTTAGGTAGATTCAAGAAGATTTGCTGTTGTGGAGTGGAAAAGAAAGATGACTTCATGGATTTTGGCCTGAGCAAATGGAAGACTGGAGTTGCCATTTAATAGAGTGGGCGAGGCTGCTAGACAAGCAAATTTTGGTGAGGATTTCAGGAACTCAGTTGGGGAGACACCTAGTAGACCGTTTAGAGAAGGTGTGGGTTAGGCAGGTGGATAGATGTACAAGTTTGGAGTTCAGGAGAGCTGTCCTAACTACAGATAGGAATTTGAGAGTTTTCAGCATATAATTAGGATTTAAAGCCCTGGGACAGAATAGAACACCTTGGGGAATAAATAATAGGTAGAAAAAATGGCCAAGTGTTAGGACATTCTCAACATCTAGAATCTTGGGAAATAAAGAGGAGTGAGTGACCAGTAAACTAGGAGGAAAAACAGATTAGTGCTGTATCGTAGAACTAAGTTAAGAAAGGGTTTTTATCTGGTAGGAGAAAGTCATAATTTGTGTCAGATGTAATAGATTTGTCAGAATAATTAAGGTCTGATAAATAACCATTTAGCCGTTGAAGAACAGTAATGGTACGAAAAGTTGTTTTGATGAAATGATGGGCACTCAAGAAAGCCTGGAATGGATTCCAGAGAGAATGTGTGGAGAGTAATTTGAGACACTGAGTAAGTATTGGCAGCTCTTTCAAGTAGTTATAAAGAAGGAGAAATAAACAATAGGAAATAATTGGGTCAGATAATAAAATGTTTGAATGCTGATGGGACTGAGACAGTGGAGAGAATAATTGGTGTGAAAGACAGGAGGGAGAGTTATTGAAACATTCTCCTTAGGGAATGTCTTTTAGTGTGCAAAGGGACTTAGCTAGGAAAATACACACAGTGTGATTGCTGGTTGGCACAAGGGTCCATTTGAGATGATGAATTTAAAGGGAAACTAGTCAGCAGACTGTTTTTTTCTCTTTGCGTTTTCAGCTATATGTGTACAGGTGAAGAGTTCAACTTAACCAAGATTGTGGTTAGAAATATAAATGATTGACAATGGAATTTTAGCTAGGTAAGAAAGGAAATGATACCAATGGCTGAGGGACAGTGGAAATGTGGTAGAATCAAAACAGATGGTAGGCTTCGAAAATGGGGGAGAGAGGATCAAAGAGTTGCTGTATTATTGTGTATTAGGGGGGTAAAGCAGAAAATATAGGAGCGGTGGTTGGAGAATGGGGAATTTGAAACTGAAGTTGTGGACAGTTTGCAATTATTGGTAATAATGGTAGGGTAGAAGACAAGATATTAGAGAAGTTAGAACTAAAAGTACAGGCTATGAATAGCAGGATAATCTGTTGAATATTGAGCATATTGAAATCACCAAGAACTGTATCAGGAATTGTGAAAGAGAGGATGAAAGTTAACTAAGGGCTGAAATCTTCCAAGAATGAAAAGGAGTAATTTGATGGTAAGTGACTAAGCAGTTGGATGGTTCGAGAGGCAAAACTGTTTCTAGGGAGGAAAGAGAGATAATAGTCTGGGACAGCAATGAGGAGCAAGATCTCTTATCCGCCATCAGAGCCTAATGATATTGATGTAAGTGAGAAAGACTTGAGGGGTCTGCGCGGGAGTGGAGTCTGTCAAAAAAAAAAAAAAAAAAATCAGAGTTGAGGATCACAGTATTAAAAAGCTAACGGGGCCAGCCTTTGGCTCACTCAGGAGAGTGTGATGCTGGTAACACCAAGGCCATGGGTTCGGATCCCATATAGGGATGGCTGGTTCGTTCACTGGGTGAGCATGGTGCTGACAACACCAAGTCAAGGGTTAAGATCCCCTTACCAGTCATCTTTAAAAAAAAAAAGCTAACAGAATGTCTTTGTAAATGGATATCTTTTGGCTTTATGTTTTCATTACATACTGTAATAAACTGAAATATTAAGGCACTTTTTGGAATCATTTAATCACCATTCTAAGGGAATTAATGTCTATTAATTAAGCCCAATGTTGTAAAAGGTTTTTAAGTTCACCTTGATCTAATGCTATGTAGTTGATAACACTGTCATATAGCAAGACTTACAAAAGCTTTCAAAGTGAGCGCAGTATATATGTGTGTGTGTGTATATAGTTATTGGTCTTTTAATTTCATTGCTGTTAGCATGAAACCCATCTGGCAATATGACAAGTTCCCAGTGAAATGCAATTTTTACTTTTTCCAGTTGATCGATATGACGATCACAACCTTAATAATTATTTGCTGTTTCCATCAGTAGTGTCATTATAGTGAGGTGGTTAAGAAATGAAGTAATGCTTAGTGTGGGAGGAGAATTAACATCTTTGTCATATGTATCAGTTTTTATATCTGGTCTTTCTATTTTAATTGTCTGTATTCAGACACTGGTATCAGTATTAGTTACTGAAGCTTTATATCATGTTTTGTTCATCTGTTAAGTGGAATTTTTCCCATCTGCTCTTTTTCACTTTTCCTGGCTATTACTACTGCTTATTTCCATAAGGGCTTTATATTTAGTTTGGCTCATTTTTTTCCTCCATGAAGTCAGATTAAATATATAAATTCAGGGAGGATTGTAATCTCTGATACTGATTATTCTTTATTATAAAAACTGAGACAACATGTCATTTTACTTGTTTAGGTCTTTTATGTCATTCAGTGGTATTTTGAAAATTTCCTCATTATATATATATAATATATATATATATATATTATATATATATCTTAAGTATATTCCTAGGTATTTTCTTTTTGGCATTTTTTTCCTATATAAATCTTCTGATTAAGGTATATATATATATATATGTAAAATTTTCTTTTCCCAACCTTACTAGATTACTGTTTTTTAAATTTTTTAATTTTCTTGTGTTTTCCAGATAATCATATCATCTCCATATAGTGATCATTTATGTCCTCTTGTCTAACTTTTATACCTATGAATTATTTCTCTTAACTAATGGCATTGAATTTGCCATAATTTTATTAATTTTTCTTTAATAGCAGAGCTGGATATTCTTACTTTCTTACAATTATGGCAGACAAATTGACAAGAATTGCTATTGTCAACCATGACAAATGTAAGCCCAAGAAATGTCGGCAGGAGTGCAAAAAGAGTTGTCCTGTGGTTCGAATGGGTAAGTTGTTCTGTGGATCATTTAAGGATAAAAAAAGGTTTTGAAAGTTGGTAGTTTTGAGTGGACATTTACTTTGTTTTCCCCATTAGTTTCTTTATGAAGATGAGATGAAGAAACCAGAATTTGTTCTAAATTTCTTTTATTGCTTTACAACTAAGTGATTCTGTTTTTTAAAACTGCAACAACTTATTGTAGAATAATGTATCAATATTTAAAAGTCCATTAATATGAAGTCAAATCAGAGTTCAGGTTACTGACTCTTGCTATTCTCCAAAATACTATAATTACTTTTAGATTCATGGGGGAAGAGCTACCGAAAACTTTGTACTTGACAGTATTCTCATCTTTAAAAAAAAACAAGAATAACGAGCTTAATAGGAATGACTACTCATGAGGTTTTGCTCTATTTTCAGGATTAAATAAATTTTCAACAATTCAGAGTTGACAAATTGTTGTTAGTCTTTAAGAGCTATGTTAATTATTACTTTAAATGTACTAGTGAGGTATAGAATTACCGAATCTTAAAAGAAACTTCAGGAGTCATCTGTTATTATCTCCCATGGTATTCAGAAATTCCATTAATATCCCTAATACCGCGTCTAGTTTTCCTGTATATGACTGTATACCTTTTTGTAGTTTCATTGATCTAGCTAACATATTTAATTTCTTTCTGTAGTGTGCCTTACCATTTCCAAAGCATATTTTATGAATTAAAGATTCAGATCAGTCAGCTTAAAAATAAAGATATTTCAAGATCAGTCATATTTTTGCTAGCATATTTTCTTCCCCAATAGCAAATTAAACAGAATAAATATATTGGAGTTATCTCCGTATTGCCTGACAAGAGTATTGATATAACTAACAAATTCAGAAATTTAATTCAGAAATCCACCCCCACAAAGCACTCATTCAAGACATTATCTCAAATGTATTTCTTTGTATGGCCTTTGTTTTGGAAAATCTGCTTCTGTATGGAAATTCGGAATCAGCATTGCCTAAATAACAATGTTCAGAAAATTAGAATATCTAGGAAAATGACTTAATTGTATCTTTTCCTTTACCAGGAAAATTATGCATAGAGGTTACACCCCAGAGCAAAATAGCATGGATTTCTGAAACACTTTGTATTGGTTGTGGTATTTGTATTAAGGTAAGTGATAATATTTTATATATTGAATCAAATTTGTAACCTGAAAGTGAAATCTGAAAATTCTGAATATTACAACTGTTTTGAAAGAGTCAAAATTTAAAGCAAATGAATAGTGTATATTTAGGGAAGTGGTATTTTTATATCAGTGACATTGTTGCTTTTTTTTCTTTTTTTTTTTTTAAGTAATTAAACCATGCTTTTTGTTATCCTTGCTATACTCAACTTTGTAAAACCATTTCCAATCAAAATTAATTTCTTTTTTTTTCACCCTTTTATGAGAAGGACATTCTCCAGCATGTGTTTACCAGAACATTTTGGAAATATAAATACAAAAATATGACTATCATATTACACTTTTTTTCAAGTCCATATATAATTTTAAATTTACACCTTCTAAATAGAAATGCTCACAGCCAAAATTTTTTTAATTTAATCTAAACCATAAGTGCTGCTGCTTCTGTATTACATATGCTTCTATTGAATTTATCCCAATAGTTTCATTTTTTTTTTAATCTCAATTTTTGTTGCATTGAATAGTGATTAGGCTTTGACTTATGAATGGTGAATTTCCAACTATGGTTCATAAAAGAAATTTAGGAGCTACCGTGTAAATATCTTAATTTAGATATTTTTATTTGTAGATAATGTGTTAAAAAAATGAGTATGGATATCTCCTTATTTATTGTTCACATAAATCAGATGTATATTTTACATTGTTTTTTGAACCCTTGGTTAAATATCCAGAAAGATTTCGTGGATCCCTGAAACTTTGTCTCTTGTTTTGAGTACAAGAGAAACATTCCTTTCAGCAAGTATTTACTAATCTCTTATTAGATGCCTGCCTGTGTCCTAGGTGCTGGGAATCTGGTTTTGAACAATATAGAATAGGTTGAGAATCCCTAATCTGAAATCCAAAATGCTTCAAAATCTGGAACTTTTTGAGCATCAACGTGAGGCTCAAAAGCAGTGCTCAGAGAAAGTGCCCATTGGACCATTTTGGATTTTCAGAATAGGGACACTCAACCAGTATGTATTTTGCAAGTATTCCAAAATCTAAAATCCAAAACACTTTTGGTCCCAAGCATTTTGGATAAGGGATATTCAACTCGTATTATCTATTCTATTTTCTTTCTTTGCTGCTATAGAAAAATGAGATTCTAAAAGTTTGGATATGCACTTTAGTGGCTGAAAACGTACTGAGGTTAATCTATTGGAGGTGGGGGGAACGTAATGTATACTTTCCAGAACACGAAAATGCTTATAATGCACCTCATATGTGAACAGTGGATATTTTTAGAGAAGTTTAAATCACATGCAGCCTATAAGCATTTCGTGTACATTGATGAAAAGACAATAATAGAAGTTTTAAATGTAGGTAACTCTACTGGTGGGAAAATATAGTTTCTAAAGAATTAATAGTTTTAGTTAGAAGTTGGTAATTACTCTATTAGAAAATAGGAGGGTTTTTTTTTTTATTCTCTATGTTCTTGTAACTTATGAAATGGAAATTTACTGAAACCTTTATATACAGAGACTTTTGAATTGGTCCCCTGAGCTTATTGAACACGTTTGCTAAACAGATCTTTAGTCTGAGGTTACACTCTTTGGATGTACCTCTACACTGTAACTTATGAAATGGAAATTTACTGAAACCTTTATATACAGAGACTTTTGAATTGGTCCCTGAGCTTATTGAACACGTTTGCTAAACAGATCTTTAGTCTGAGGTTACACTCTTTGGATGTACCTCTACAGTTGTCTGTACTTCTGAGAAATTTTTCTAGCCACGTTACCACTCTTAAGTGACCTTCTTGTATTTGCCATTCTTGTTTTTTTGGACATTTACCTGATAATCCTATGTTCTTTGAATAGGTTTTTTTTTTTTTAATGAATTTGTGTTTTGTTTCATTTTTTAATTAGTGAAGCATCTTTTTCATATGGGTTGGATACAAGTCACAATGGAAAGACATTAATCCTTGGTCTGTGCAAATATGCTAGCAAGTAGGACTGAAATAGCCCAAAAAAGATACGATCCTTGACCTTAAAGTTAAGATTTTGCAAGGTACAAAAGGAAGTATATAGAAGGGCAGGAATAATTGAGGGAAGTAGAGGGACAGCATCTGGTATGAAGAATATGGAATCATATATTCAATAACCATTTTTTTGTCTTGCCTCTTAGCCTTCTCTTATCTAATATCTAAAAATAAACACAAAAACAAAAACCTTGAGTTCTATACTGTTTTTCAATAATTGTTAAACACTCATAAAATGTATCACTAATTCTCTACTTTAAATAACAGAAATGCCCCTTTGGCGCTTTATCAATTGTCAATTTACCGAGCAACTTGGAAAAAGAAACAACACATCGATATTGTGCCAATGCCTTCAAACTTCACAGGTATATTTTCAAGTCAACATTCCCCTTTACTTCAGTCAAGTTAAAATTTTGGAATTTTCAGAGAAATGCAAAAATGGAAAAAATATTAACCATTCACTAAAGAGGAATACGGTATTATAATACTATGTAGAATCATATTGTGTATGTCAGTGGTTCATTCTGGTTAACATTAGAATTACCTGGGGGACTTTTTAAAAATACTAATGCCCACGGGGCCGGCCCGGTGGCGCACTGGATAGTGCGCCGCTTGGGAAGCGCGGCGGCGCTCCCGCCCGAGGGTTCGGATCCCACATACAGACCGGTTCCCGCTCACTGGCTGAGCGAGGCGCGGGGGCAGCACCAAGGGTTGCGATCCCGTTGCCGGTCCCGGTCCGGTATGGGGGCAACACTAAGGGTTGCGATCCATTGCCGGACACGGAAAAAGACAAAAAAAAAAAAAAAAATACTAATGCCCAGGTTTCAGCCCAGTTGAATTACATTGTAATCTCTGGATGTAGGATCTGGACCTTGGTAAGTTGGAAAAGTTCCAGGTGATTCTCAGTACCTTTATCCCCAAAGTAACTTTTAAGGGGACTTTGATTGTGTTTATTCATTAATCTTATAATCTACAGATACACACTAAACTTGGACATATATTATTAAATCACAAACAAGTCCTTAGTTCTTTGAGATTTTTATCTGCTGAACACTAATATTTGAATGTGGGAGTCTAGATTTTTTAGTAAAAAGGTATTTCTCAACCTGCCAGCTTTAAGGGGCCTACTGCAGCAGGGAGAATGAAGTGGAATATTTCTGGTTGATGTGGCACTTCTCTCCTTGTAAGTAAATGGTAGGCCAGGAAAAAAACAGACAGTGTGAGGTTGCACCTGCTGTGTAATTTTATACCAAAGCATTTTGTTATACATTAAAACTGAGCTGTATATTTAAAGAGGAAATGTTACTTTAGAATGGACTGAATGAAAATTGAATAAGTAAAATTTGGAGTAATACTGGTCATGGATGCATTTCTAACAATTAACAGTTTAAGTTAATCTTGGCTGGTTTTTTTTTTTTCCTAATAGCCAATAATATCTGGCATATATTTCTTAGCTTATTAGTGAATGCATGTGAAGCGCAAGTGCATTAAAATACATCATTCTTGTATTATGTAGTTTTTCCTACCTAAGTCTGAATTTTATTATTTTTGTATACGTGAAATAGGTTGCCTATACCTCGTCCAGGTGAAGTGTTGGGATTAGTTGGAACTAATGGTATTGGAAAGTCAACTGCTTTAAAAATTTTAGCAGGAAAGCAAAAGCCAAACCTTGGAAAGTATGATGTATGTATTACCAGCTTATAAAAATTAATATCTTGGGTCTGTTTCATGAGATTGAGTGATTTTTTTTTTAATGTCCTTATTTTCAAGATTATTTGTGGAATTTATGTGGAGAAACTACATAAATGAAGCTCTTTCATTCCTTTTTAATTAAAATCTGTTAATGCTATTTAACTGAAAATTCTTAGTTTCCTTTAACTGTTATGAGTTGGTATGCTTACAGTCTTAAAGTTAGAAATCAGAATATTCTATTTAGGCATGTGTTCTATTTTGTATAGCATTTATCCTCTTTGTAATTGTATTATTAATTTAAATTCAGATCATTATATGTATATTTTCAGGATCCACCTGACTGGCAAGAGATTTTAACTTATTTCCGTGGATCTGAATTACAAAATTACTTTACCAAGATTCTAGAAGATGATCTAAAAGCCATTATCAAACCTCAATATGTAGACCAAATTCCTAAGGCTGCAAAGGTTAGTTGCTTTTTTTAGAGGAATTTATAAATTATAGATATTGTTGGAGGTTTAAACAATATAGCAAAGTAAACTCATTTTACTTTGTGACTCTTTTTATATTGAAGGAAAATAGGGGTAACTATTTCTGGTATATTATGACAGGGAACAGTTGGGTCTATTTTGGACCGAAAGGATGAAACAAAGACACAGGCAATTGTATGTCAGCAGCTTGGTAAGTGTTTTTGGTTTTTTTGTCTTTTGTATATGTGTCTTAATTAATAAACCCTGGACTGAAGTCATAAAGGTATACATCTTTATAATGGATTATTGAAATAAATGGGAAAATCTCCAGTCATATTTACTTTTTATTTTATACAGTTTTCAACTGAAATATCATTCAAACCCATAGTGATGACGTGCAATATACGTTTTGTCTGGAAGAGGTAAAATAAAAGTTATAACATTGAACGCAATGCCTCTATGTTCTTTGTAGATTTAACCCACCTAAAAGAACGAAATGTTGAAGATCTTTCAGGAGGAGAGTTGCAGAGATTTGCTTGTGCTGTTGTTTGCATACAGAAAGCTGATATGTAGGTTACTTTACAATTTTTGCATATCTTAATCATTATTTTAGAATTTTTATTTGTAATGCTGCTAATAAAGCAGTGGTTTTGAGAGAAACTAAAAGAAATGGTATCTAAAGCTGTAATTTTCAGGTAAGATGTGAAAACAGTTGTGCATCTACTACCCATTTTCCTTATTATTTCTGTAGGGAGGAAAACTATCGTTCATATTTTGATAAGCAATTTATAACTTACAGGGTTCAGAGCTTTTTAATAAAAAGTCAGTTATTTATAATTTAAGCCCTTAATAAAAAGCATAGTTTTTAAGACTTAAGCTGTCCAACCAAGCCAGCAAATTAAATACCTGAAGTAAAACATGAGGTCTTTTAGATCACCCAGATTAAGGGTGGCATGCCATGTGAGGGAGAAGAGGAGAGTGAAAAAGTCAAGTTTCCTTCTACCTTCTTAGTGCCTCTCTCCTCCCAGATATTTATTGCTCCCTTTTTTCCCCACATTTCTACTCTAGTATCCGGTGCAGACTAGCTCTTTTCCACAAAGTATTCTATGAATTCTGTGCATTGCCCTCCAAAAAACTATTTTCTTTAATGCAGCTATCTTTAGCTAATTAAGAGAAAAGTTCTCCAAACTACTTCAGACTATATTAGAATGTTTTTCATGAGGAGGTACCAATTTGTAAGTTAGCCTAATCTGGAAGGCTCTCCCCAAACTTGATGTGTAGTCCTGCTTTTCATAATTTTCTTTTGTATCTGAACAGAATACAGAAATTTTTAGCATTACTGGTAGTCTCTTCATATGAGGAGATTGTTGTTGTTAAATCAGAAGCTGACAATATTACAATGCTGTAAAATAATACACAAAATAAAATTGTCATATTTGTCTTTCAAAATTATTATATTTGCTTTTCTTTTTTTTTTCTCATTTATAGTTTTATGTTTGATGAACCTTCTAGTTACCTAGATGTCAAGCAGCGATTAAAGGCTGCTATTACTATAAGATCTCTAATAAATCCAGACAGGTAAGTACAGATCTGAAATATTCCTGTGTTATTTTGTTCAGGAATTTTACAGATTTCTAAAGAGTAATATGCTGGGACTGTCAACATTATGTACATGTTTTTCATCTTGGTTGTTTCTAGCTACCACCTGAATTTACCTTCCTCTATAGAGAACAGAGGTTCTTAGTGTGAGATTCATTTATTGACACCTCCTGTTTCCAGGGAGGGTAAGAATACTATGAAAATTGTGTGCAGATTTTACCATATGTGTATAGCTTTCTGAGAAGCAGATCCTTAGCTTTTACCGTATCCTTAAATGAGTATCACTCTCCCATATACACATACACACACAAATTTAGAACATTCTAGGAATCACCAGAATAATTCTGTTGTTCAGAATCTTGCTGAGCAAAAGAGGATTCTTAATAACTTTTGTTAAGTAATCACGACATCCTCCTCCCTATATATGGTGCTTTTGTAGTTTGTCAAGTTTTTGAATTTTATCTCTTTTGATCCTTGTGGTAATCTTCTAAGAATCTTTTGGTGGTATTGCCATTTTGCAGATGAGGAAGTTTAAGATCAGAAAAGCTAGTGATTTGTCCTAGGTTACAAATTTACTACATGACAAAACTGCAACCAGAACCCAGGGTTTTTTTCTACATAGTATTTTGTATTGCTTTCTCTCCTTAGTAACTGATTTAGTAAGCATCCTTTTAAATACATGGCTGATCTTGCAAGAAAGCAAGAGAATTCCCAAGAGATCAAAAACCAAAACACAAACTATAAAGAAAAACAAGAGCATGGCTTTCCAGATGTTGCTGGCCTCTGTAATAGGTCTTGGGTTTTAACAACCACCTGTGGACAAGAAGCAAGGCCTTGTAGTTGATTATCGTGCATAGAATGCCAGAACTCTCAAAGGACTGCCTTCTCAGCAGAAGGGCAAGTTGATAACAAGTTCCTTATTAGCACATGGCAATATCAAGAAACCATGTATCTTTCACTCACTGAGCTTGTTGGAAGAGAAGGTATGGCTCCCTTTTAAATTCAAGAGCCAGCAACTCACATGGCTATGGAACTGAAATTTATGTAATCAGTGGAGTCTGTGAACCTTTCAAGGTGAGAAAGTAACCAAAAAGGTTTTGTAATTTTTAGTCATATGATTCATAGCAGAAGCAAATATAAACCACTCTGGAGGGATATACCCTCAACCCTGGTTGCACAGGATTCCTACAGGTAAAACACTCATAAGCATGAGCTCAGATGTAGGATTATAAATTACAGGAGGAAACTGTCTACAAATTAGTCAGTAGACATAGCAAGACAGCAGGATTAGACCTCAGTAACTTCAGCTGATAATCTAAAAGAGGCTGTAAAATAATAATATTTAAAATAAGATATTTACAATAAAAGAACTCAAATACCTTAAAATGTGATGTTATAAAAAAGCAATAGGTAAATGTTCAAAAACTAGAAACTAAAAGTATAGTGACATCAAAAACTCACTGGACAGATTAGGTTAGGGACAGCAGGAAAGAGGATTAGAAACCTGAAAAGTTGATATGAGAAAGTTACTAGAATATAGCAGAGAGATAAGATTGAAATACAGAAGGGAGGTACAGAAACATGGAGAATGGAATGTGAAGACTACTTATATCTTAAGAGTCTGAAGAAGGCATGAAAGGATAATGGCTAAGAAGTTTTTAGAGTTGAAGAAAAACTCAACTGCTTAGATTTACAGAGCACAAGTGCTAGAAAGGATAAATAATCTACTAACATACTTCAAAGTGAAACTTAGAATAACAGTGGTAAACAGACTATTTTATTTGAGTCAAATAGTAGCCATAATTTTCATTTCATAAAAATCCTGGGCACTATGATAGGCTCTTTGGGGAATGCAAGTTTTAAAATGTAGTACCAGGGGCCGGCCTGGTGGCGCACTCGGTAGAGTTCGGCGCTTGGGAGCGCGGCAGCACTCCCGCCGAGGGTTCGGATCCCATATAGAGACCGGTCCACTCACTGGTTGAGCGCGGTAGGTGCGGGCGCGACACCGAGGGTTGTGATCCCATTGCTGGTCGCGGTACAGGCGCGACACCGAGGGTTGCGATCCCATTACCGGTCACGAAAAAAGACAAAAAGGAAAAAAAAAATGTAGTACCAGTATTCAAGGACTTCACAATGTAGTAGAGAAAAGAATACATGTGTACCATAGTCTGGAAGAGAATACACAAGCCATCAAGTCAGTAGTTCTCAAACCAAGCCCCTTTTTATAAAAAGTATTTTTATAGCCCTGTATTATAATAAAATGAAAGTCATAGATAATATTATCTGTGTTCACACATAAATTTGAAAGTATCAAATAATGTCCTAACCATAGTAAAAAGAACTAAAAGGAAGTAATTTGCAACCAGATGATAATGTATTTCAGTAGGTAAATGTTCAGGCAAATCATTAGATATCAGATGTTCATAGCCACTAATAATGAGTAAATTTAAAAGTAAAAGATTAGGAGCTATTCTGTGTAAGAACAACAAGTAGATGAAATAAATAAATAGATGTGGATGGACCTAAAAAAAGAAAAAGTGAAGTAAAGTAATACTATACAAGACTTTTTCCCATATTGTGAGAGAGAGGGTATTAACCTTAATTGCAATAGGAATAACATGTTACCTGTTAAGACAAATTAGATTGACAAAGTGGAGAAAATGATTAAGACATTTGCACAATTGTGCTAGTCTTATTTATAGATATTGGGTTAAAATAATCTTTTATGTAATGATGGATTTATGTTAAAGAGTCACAAGAAGTATATCTTGGGAGAGGATGTCCTTGGATAAACAATGAGGAATAGAGAGATCACAGGTTGGAGAAAAGAACAGTGATATAAGAGGTTTCATAGAGTTAGTACTTAGAACATTATCAGTAAGATTGAAGACTATCAGGTAGCCGCAGATTAATTGTATGGTGTACCTTTTTAACTATACTATTGGGTTTAATTTCTTTCCAAATCCTCAGAAAACAGAGTGGCTGACCTAAATTATATTTGTGCTTGTATTTTGGAATTTTGTCTTTGAATTCCATTTGAAGTTGGGAGAGGCAGGAGATTTGACCTATTCTTTTCTTCCTTTCAAAGCAAATTAAAAGCCACTGCATAGTACTATGCTGCTTCACACTGGGTCTTGAAGGAAGCATAGTGTTTTAATGGTGGACTTTAATGGATTTAAAAAGTAGAGAAGTATTCCAGATAATGGATCAGTGACAACAAAGACACGAAGGCAGGAGGAGTATCAGCTCACCTAGGTGATTTGCCATTTTTCTTGCTACTACCACAGTCATGGTAGAAAACATTTTCTCTTAATTTTCTCTTTTCATGTGAGACTTCATGTATACCTAAGACCTGGATTACTGTTTTAGCTCCAAAAAAAAAAAAAGAACTATGATTCTTTCTTCTCACCAGATTAAGATTTCTGAGATGATTTTTGCAGTCAAATGCTCTACCACTGAGCTATACCCCCTCTGAGATGATTTTTTATCTATATATATCATTCTCTTATTCTAGAATTGTGCTGTGGCTTCTGGACAGATGTAATTTAGATTTTAATTAATTGAAATTAAGTGATATTAAAAATTCACTTCTGTCAAACTAGTTATGTCCCACTTGTGGCTAGTGGTTACCGTATGGTTCAAAATAGATGCAGAATATTTCCATAATTATGTGAAGTTCTACTGGACAACACTGTATCAGAAACTATCATCTTTCCCATTGCCAATTAGCCTTTTTTAGTCCAAATTCTTCATTTTCTCATTCCCAATTTTATTAAGTATCTGTTTAGTACATAGCATAAGACTAAAGGTCATAAATGTGATAAAGTGTGTTACAGTCTCCCTTCAAACAAAATGTTTATGAGGGCTGGCCAGTTAGTTCAGTTGGTTAGAGCACAGACTTATAGCACCAAGTCACGGGTTCAGATCTCTGTACTTGCCAGCTGCAAAATTTAAAAAGTTTATGGGCATGCTTTGGGAGTACTCAAAAATAATAAAAGTCCAAGTATCAGTTCAGATACTTGTTATGGGGGTTTATGAGTGGGAAAAAGTTAATTTGCGTATTAGGAAGGTTATTCCTACAAGAGATAGGATTTGAGGTGTACCTTAAAGGGTTGAGTAGAATTTCAACAGGTGAAGATTTAGGCAGGAGACTATTTAGGGAAAAAAAAAAAAAAACAGCCCTTAAACACACAGAAATTAGAAAAAAAAGTGGATTATTCAGGAAAAAAGCCGTTTTTCATTGTTTCCTGTATATAAATAAAGTAACAGATACTAGGTGAAGTTTGGGAATGTCTTGAAAGAAAGTCTAAGAATATTATTCATTTCATTTGGAATTGAGAGCCACACCAGGGGACCTGACGAAAATGAGATTTGTCAAGTCTATAATGAGCCTGAATTAGAATTTAGGCACAGAAGGAAGAGGAGGAAATTCATACACAAAACATTGTTGAGAAAGAGTTCACAGACTTAATTTAAACAATATACCAATGGGAATAAATGAATCATTTTTTTGTGGGAGGAAGATGATTCTGTTAATACATAAATGGAGAATTTTTACTTGTGCAGGAAGCTGATACATTTAGTTGGCATTTGAGATGTCTGAAGAACATTTATTTTAATGTCTTGCATTAAGTTGGAATAGTAATAAAGTGCTGCATAAAAGCTTCATGACTGTTCCTTGCCATAATAATAAATAGCTTCTACTCTAGCAATACTTTTTTCAGTTCATTCAAATCTACCCATTTAAGCTTCACATTATATCCCATCTAATTCATAAGGTGTCTCAGTCCGCACTACCCTATTTTCCTTTCTGACCTTCATGAGTTTTATATAGAACATATTTTGCCACCTAGTCTCTTGTTATTTTATGTCTGTTTTCTTCCCCCAGCTAAATCGAATGTTCTCAGGTTAAAGATTCTGTCACATCTTTATGCATCCCCTTCTATAGCTAGCATGGGACAAGTACAGGGCTTAATACATAAGTTGAATAGCATAAGATGCAAACAGTTTAGGCTACCTCTGAATTAAATCTGTAATTGTTTCTACTTTGTAAAGTTTATTTTTAAATTTGTTTCTTATTAGCAAAACACATTAATTTCATATATCCATAAACTTCATGTTTACTGTTTTTCCTTTTAGTTTAGGGAAGCATTTTTTTTTTTTTTTCCTTTTTGTCTTTTTTTTTTTTTTCCGTGACCAGCAACGGATCGCAACCCTCGGTGTTGCTCCCGCACCTCGCTCAGCCAGTGAGCGGCCGGTCTGTATGTGGGATCCGAACCCTCGGCGGGAGCGCCACCACACTTCCCAAGTGGCGCACTGTAGCAGTGCGCCACCGGGCCGGCCCTAGTAAAGCATTTTTAAATATGGACACTGATAATGAGTCTTATTAAAGAAAATATTTTATGGCTTTTGCTTAATATGTTCTTTACACTTAATTTTTTTTAATATATCTATTTTTCTGAAATTTGTAACTAGTAAAAAAAAATAGTTATGTAAGAGTTTTAGCTCATAATATGTTAAATAAAAATCTGTTTTTATTTTTCAGATATATCATTGTGGTGGAGCATGATCTAAGTGTATTAGACTATCTCTCTGACTTTATCTGCTGTTTATACGGTGTACCAAGTGCTTATGGTGTTGTCACTATGCCCTTTAGTGTAAGAGAAGGTAACCTGAAAAACTGTCTTCACATACGCTGTATTGTCTTCACTATAATTCTTAGAAATGTGTTATTATTGATATTAAATAGGTTTATGTTGCTTTATTCAAAACTCTTGAAATTTAATCACTGACAATGTATATATGAGGTTGTATACATTAGTTATTATGCAAAATGTATGTCTTTTTTGGAGAATTTTCTGTTGGGAATGGGTAGAAATGCAATTTCACTACTTTTTTTGCTATTATGAAAGTGGTCTATATTTTGCCTTCTGCAGTTACATTATAGTATTTGTCATCTTCAGATTTATCTTTGACAGGCCAATACTAGCAGTTAAACTCTTAAAATTCATTCAGTGCTCATCTTGTTTTCATGTTTCAAATTTATCTGTAATCTGTAACCTATGTCTGTAGAACTGAGGCTATCTAAAAATCCAATAAGATAGTTTAGTAAATACATTCAAATTTTCATTTATTCCTTCTACTTTCATTTAAGAGGGACTCTGGCCTCTCTCTTCCATGTCTCCTCCTTACCTGTTCAAATTAAGCAAAAGTAGAAACTAGCCTACCACTCCTGAAACAAGTACACTGTCCATTTTGCATACCTTTTTCCTTTCAATTTCTTTCCTATTTTTCTTTCTCTGCTTCCTTACTTCTATTTTACTTTGTATTTCTTCTCTCCAGCTATGTTTTAAGCTGACAATCCAGAATGCTAAAAGGGCTACTTAGTTTATATCTTGGAAAAAAATATAGACAGTACTCAATTAGTGATAGTTTGATTCAGGATTTTTCAACTTTACCACGAAGCAAAAGTGATACACATTCAGTACAGTATTCAGTAAATTACATGAGATATTCAACACATTGTTATAAAATAGGCTTTGTGTTAAATGATATTGCCGAACTGTAGGCTAATGTGTTCTGAGCACATTTAAGGTAGGCTGGACTAAGCTATGATGTTTGGTAGATTAGGTATATTAAATACATTTTTGACTTAATGATATTTTCAACTTACAATGTTTTTAGCGGGACATAACCCCATCATAAGTTAAGGAGCATCTGTACTATATTCTAGAAGAATTCCTGCAGCCTTGTAGTTCCCTCAGTGGTGACAAGCCCCCCCCCCCCCCCTCTTTTTTTTTTTTTTTTTATATAAAAAAAAAAAAAAAA